ACACACACGCGCACACACACACCACTGCTGCTGCGCGTGCGCCACCACACATCACACACATGCGCGGCGTGCACCACACACACACACGCACGCACACACACGGCACGGCACGCACGCACGCATTCGCACGCAACAGCAGCACACACAACATACACCGCCGATGAAAGCTTTAGGTCGTGGGTTTGTATAGAGCCTCGGTAATTTTGCATCACAATTACATACACATTTCTTTTCGCCTCCGCATGCCTCCGTTGTCTTCTGTTGAACCCAGGCCTAAGTTGCAAACAAACCACGGATAAGCAGGCGACCTGCGATATCAGGTGAGTACACGACTTCGCTACGGCTCCGTGACTACCCTACGGCTTTCTCTCTTAGTCTCTCCCTCCCCTGTCTCTCTGTTTTTTCTCTACAATTTTCTATCTGTTCTTCTCTTGGACGTTCTGTGTTTCTCTCTTTCTCTCCTGATTCTGTTTCTCTCTTTCTCTCTCTTCTCTCTCTCTCTCTCTCTCTCTCTCTCTCTCTCTCTCGCTCTCTCTCTCGATCTCTCTCTCTCTCTCCTCTCTCTCTCTCTCTCTCTCTCTCTCTCTCTCTCTCGCTCTCTCTCTCGATCTCTCTCTCTCTCTCCTCTCTCTCTCTCTCTCTCTCTCTCTCTCTCTCTCTCGCTCTCTCTCTCTCTCTATCTCTATCTCTCACACGCAAATGCTCCATGCATACTTGTGTGAAACAGAGACTCGACTATACCGCCTATACGAGCCGCAGATCTACTGTACTAAACCCTATATGCAGATTCGACCAGGTTATCATTCCTCGTGGACTAAATGCTCTTCGAAGAGTTTATGATCCAAGCGTCCGAAACTAACTTTCACTCGCATGATTTCTGCATCACTACAATATATCAAGAGCTAATAATACTGTTATTAGGTTATTAGGTTTTTAATTTAGATTAGGTTTAATTTTAATTTAGGATTTAATTTTAATTAAGTTTAGGTTATTATTAGGTTATTAATAGGTATTATTAGCTCTTGAATATATTTAACGTTATAGCGATGATCGTATGTAACAGGTCTGTGACCGTGTACGACTGAAGTTTACGAGTGAATTAGCGAGCGAACTGACGCGCGTGTGTGTGTTGTGTTTGCTAACCTGACGGATACGCACACACACACAGCAGTGGCTGAGTGATAGCCGCACTCCTTTATCTGACAACTTTGAGTCTAATGTGTGACTGAACGTGCTCAAGTCTGAAATTAAGCTTGGTCTCAAGTCAACCTTAATCTTATTGCGCGGCGAGTGCCGCACGAACAGCTTTCGCTTTTAAATCGCATCGCATCGTTCGTCAAATCCCACCCGCAGTGCATGAGCCTTCTGCTACAGTCTCGATATCAAACTTAATTGTTATGAGAAATAACGTTGAACGCTACCGTCATCAGAACTAATAATTCCCACGTGTTTTCTAACGTTGATGCTGTGTGTTTATCGTCGTTCTGATCCATCCCAGCATCGCGGGGTACATAGTACTACATACCACCCTCCCGCGTCACGATCCGTCATGTATTAATATGGAGGTTGGTTGCAAAGTGAGCGCTGCGCTCGCCGCGTGTGTCACTTACTCACAACTCTCACACACTGACTCTGCACTCTCTCACACACTGACTCTTGTCAAAAATGCGTATCCACGTCGCCCCGCGCGCACACCACGGGTCAAATGTTGAAACGTTTGCCGACTCGCAGCAGTCGATCACGTAAAAACTTCTGATAGAAAGATTCATAGATCGTTGAGAAGTTTAGATTTTTGACAAGCTTTTTTCCATGGCGTAAACCCACCTTTACTCACGCGGCTTGTGTTACAGACAGATGAGCAGCAGCGTGCAGACGCCGTGCTGATGGCGCGCTGGGTGAAGCGGTGTCCCTGCTTCCCTCTCCGGGACCAGGATGTCACCCTGCTCGACTACAGACACTGCAGCCTGCAGTTCGTGCCGGACGAGGTCTTCAACCACGAGCGCACGCTCAGGGAACTCTACCTGGACTCGAACCAGATCAAAGAGCTGCCGCGGGTGAGTTGCACCTGGGAGTTTTTATATTGTGGGGGAGTTGGTGGACGGACGGATGGTGCCGCGCGGTTCCCGTTGATGTAGCGTTTTTAAACGCTATAGGAAAATCGCAAAAAAACATATATTTCGTTTGAAATTATGAAAGTGAATTTATTTCATGATACATTCATTTATTTAACCTTTTAGCAACAGTTTCTCTTGACAAGGGCAACCGGATTGGTAGTCGAAACTGTTGCTAACTGGTTATTCACATGGATTTATCATAAAAATAAATGTACTCTTGTATTATCATGGAATCAGGTGACGTGATTCCAAGTGAACTACTAGTGCTGAAGTGATGTTGCACTGGTATTTGATTAGAGTTGCGACTAGATTTGCACTGCTGGTTGAACAGTGTTACAACTAGTGCTGCTCTCAATGCGCTATTAATGTACTTGTTCTTCCACCTTTAAGGGGAATTTTATTTGTGTTCCGACTACATTACCCGTCCATGTTGTAATTACGATCGTACATGTTTCAGCCGTTGTTTCACTGTCACGGTCTGCGCAAGCTGGGACTGAGCGACAACGATATCCAGTCACTCCCGTCGGCCGTCGCCAGCCTGGTCAGTCTAGAGGAGCTGGACATCAGCAAAAATGGTCAGTAAATAACACGCGAGACTAGGAAATATGAAGTGCAGTCAACCCGGTGTTAGTTAAGTACAGTCATCTCTGTAGAAAGACGTAGGACGTATAGTCGAACCTGTGTTAGTGGTCACCTCTATAGAAGGGACACCTGTCTATAAAGGACGTATAGTCGAACCTGTGTTAGCGGTCACCTCTATATAAAGGACACCTGTCTATAAAGGATGTATAGTCGTACCTGTGTTAGTGGTCACCTCTATAGAAGGGACACCTGTCTATAAAGGATGTATAGTCGTACCTGTGTTAGTGGTCACCTCTATAGAACGGGCACCTGTCTATAAAGAACGTATATTCAAACAATTTGTGCGTTGCCATGAACACGGATGACGAAATTTCGTCATCCGTGTTCATCGCGACGCGCGAATTGTTTGAATCATTAATTTTCGATTATATCTATAACGCATTGTATTTGTTTTTGATTATTTGATTCTATTCCAATGTCTGCTGACCTGATGAAGAGATGTAATCTCGAAAGCTTGTCAATTAAATTTTAAACACTCTTATTCTATACGTTGACTTTGTTTTTATCTAACCAGGTGTTCGTGTGTGACTTTACTACTATATATATATATATATATGTATATATATGGGCTTGAAACCATCTCTTAATAGTCCTGATAATTTAATTCGTATGTCTTGCAGTGGATTTTTCGTCAAACTCACTTTGCCCAGAACTTCAACTAGCTTGTATCAACTAACAGGGTATAAAGGAAGATTTTCATTATTATTTAGACTGGATTTGGAACTACGACGGGGGAACCCCTCTAGACAAACTGGTGATCATATGCTGGCAAACAGGCCGTCGTGACAGTGTGACTAAGCCAGCAATTGTGTCTTTCTTTCAGGCATCCTTGACTTTCCGGAGAACATCAAATGCTGCAAGTGCCTGGCAGTAATTGAAGCTAGCGTGAATCCATTGGGAAAGTAAGTGTTCTCTCGGTAACTTCTGTACTCATGCATAAGGTCCTTGCATGTCAGGGAAGGGGAAGTAGAAAAACGGTGCGACAGTAAGAGGGCGTGAGGGAAGGAAGACAGAAAGAGAGGAAGAGCGAGAGAGGAAGAAGAAGAAAGAGAAGAGTGATGGAGGAAGGGGAGGAAGGCGGAGGGAGAATGAGAGCGAGGGAGAGAGAGAGAGAGAGAGAGAGAGAGAGAGAGAGAGAGAGAGAGAGAGAGAGAGAGAGAGAGAGA